TTAAACAAGACCCAGAGTCTCACAACATCTTACTTAAGAGCTCAGGAATATAATCCAAATTTAGGTGGCATACAAAGAATTAGGACTATTTCAACTCACATGGGAAAAGAGAAACAACCCAAGCTTAAAACAACACGCATTTATTACTTACATTTCTATGGGTCAACCAGTTTTTCTTTACTATAACAAGTAGCACATTTCCATGTAATAGCTTACCTCATATACAGTATGTCATTTTCTAAGTCAAGATTTCTCTTCTTTAATTCTTCCAACTCTTTTTCTGACTCCAAAGCTCGTACTCCCATAACTTGATCAACAGTCATGCCAGTTGTTTTCAGTTTCCTCTGCAAAGTAAGTTTCTCTTTATCAGCTCTGTGGAATTTAATACAGAATCATGAACATATATCAGTCATTGTTTAGCTTGTTCAACTGCTTACTCATTACTAAACCAATATATGATAATTACATCATTCTGTATTTGTTATGAACTAACTTGCATCAAAATCACAGGAAACCCCATTTATAATTGTTAAAATATATTTAAAGCACATTTTAAAGAAAATAAAAAGTAGGTATAAATGATTATTTAAACTAGAAAATTTCTCAAATTATTAACTATGATAAAATTACATAACTTCCAGGTCACTAAAGGATTTTACACATAATTCATTCTACATTGAAATTTAAACTCACTTTGCAAAAAGGTCCTTCAAAGTATTCAACTGCTTAGTTAGAGTGCAGACTTCCCCCTCTTTCTCTTTTAACTTGCTTCGAATTCCCTCCATTTTGGTTTGCCATTTTTTGCCTTCTTCCCACCTAATTAATTCTTCTCTAGCACTCTGTACACAATAACAAAGCAGATATAAAATTACCAATATTATTTTTAGTTTCCTTTTAAAACTTATCGATTACAATGTACCCAGAGAAATGGTAAACCAATACTTCCTAGAGGATACAAGGGCTGTCTGGAAAGTATCCAGCCATGTAACCATTCTCTCATTATATTAACAAAGGCTGTATAGTTTCCAGACAGTCCTTGTATATAAATAGGTTCATTTAGCTATACAGGTTGAATATGCCTTATCTGAAATGTTTGGGACCAGAAGTATTTCAAATTTCAGATTTTTTTTTGGATTTTGGAATATTTACATATACATAATGAGTTATCTTGGGGATAGGACCCAAGTCTAAACACAAAATTCATTTATGTTTCATATACACCTATACACATAAACAAAGATAATTTTATACAAATTTTTAGTAATTCTGT